AAAAGGCTGTGCACGCAACGCTCCTAGCCCATAATGGGCAGACACTTAGTCAGTAATTTGCCCGAGGCCACAGTAATTGGCCTTTTGACTACTCACAGCAAGTCGGGTTTAGCCGCAATCTCAACTCCAATCGTCAACCGCTTTCTCTGCTCAACATTAAGACCTTCACCAAGAACTCCAACAACAGCCTCCGCGTACTCTTCCATGTTTAGCATCTTGATTACCTCCTCGACATAGGCTAGCTTCTCTTTGTGCGGTATGCTTGCTGGCTGCCGGAGTGTAGCACTGAAGATAAGAGCCTCGCGGACTGTACTTGTTTCCAAGTGTAGGTCCTGCTGTTGAACATAACCAGTCTTACGCTGAAAGGAGTCGTCTCTCATGCGTCCGTCAACTAGCATCTCGCCGGTGATCACACCCATGGTAACACGATTAGCCAGAACGTCCAACAACGACGTTTTACCAGCCCCAGTCACACCCATCAATGCTGTCAACGTTCCTGGCTTGACCCATCCATCGACATGATCCAGGATTCGGCGTGTCTCGCCTTTGATTTTGATGTCGTAGCATACATCTTGCCAGTGGAAGATCGAGGTTTGCTTGACGATTGCAGCGGTGCTGTCATGACCCGCATTATCAAGCTGCTGCTTCTCGGAGATCGGAGCTCCTTCCAGATCAGCATCGCGCCGGGCCTTCTTGACAAATGCAGGTATCTTCCCTCGAGGGAAAACCAAGATCTCTCCTTTGGAGGGTTTAGCACGGACTAACTCGCTGCAGATGATGTAGGCAGCCAGGAAGAAGAAAAAGAAACCTAATATGATGCCATAATTCCGCCAGAGATGCGAGCTGTAATACCGATATGAAGTATTGATAAATGCGTCGCCGTCAACGTAGTCTTGTCCAGCTACGGCGCCCTTCTGACCGCAAATTTTTGAGCTAAGAGGAACATTCTCGTAACCCTGGCCAGAGGGCACATATAGAGCGCAAGGGAATTTTCTGTCACTGAACTCGTTGATCATGAGAGACTCGAACGCATACTATCTTCTGCTTAGCCGAGTCTAAGAGACTGGAATAAGGAGATGAAACTTACACCGATCGGATTCAAATAGTTCAGCCACTTGAACCATGGATGCATATCCCGTACTGGGATCGTGAAGCCCGTGTAGATGACAAGAATCATCATGAAAATAGAGGAGGGCACCATGGCCTGTGCCATCGAGCGTGAGATTGCTCCAATCCAGCGGAAAATATTGGACATGGTTAGAGTAATCGTTACGGAGAACAAGTAGAAGACAAAGAAATGTCCTGGGGTACGGCGCAGATTGGTCATGAAGTAAAGGATAAGGTTGAACACGACGGAAACCAGAAACTTGGAAGGCAAGTCAACAATCATAGAACTGATGGCTTCTGCTGAAGGATGATAGAGTGCGTATTTGTCATGCTTCTCTACAATCGGCCGTTGCTGCCACAACGTCAAAATCTCAAGCGAGCTTGCGAAGGCATTCAGCAGGATTGCGAAGAAGAGGAGTGCACCACGAGAGAAGAAACTGTTGGTCGTTTGGTCCAAGTTATAGAATACGCTGGAGACGATGAATGCCATGATACTGTTGCCAATGACGGTTGCCAGAGTCATGCTCATGTCACCTTTGAGACGAAGAAAGCCTCGGCGGAGACACAGACGAATTTGCATCGGGTACGAAAGAGTGTAGGGCGAAGGCGCCCTGGTACCTTTGGCTTTTTCCGCTGCGCGAGAGACAGTGAACTCCTTGTATTTGCTGCCACCCAACGGAAACTCATTTTCAAATGCTTCAATGTCAGCCAGGAGCTGTTGCCGCTCCGCGCTTTCCCTCCATCGAGCAGCAAACTCGTCCGGTGTGCGCGGGACGAGGGCTTCGTACCCTTTCCGGACCAATCTTTCAGAAGGACTCGTCAGAGATGTCAAGAAGTCACCGGTAGTTTGCCTGTCTGGGCAGTCAAACCCCATGTCAATGAAGAAGCGTTTCGCATCACTAGCTTTGCCGAAGTATATCTGGCGGCCTTCATAGAGCACAATAACCTTGTCAAATATGTCGTAAATTGCCTGACTAGCCTGGTAGATGGCTACTATAGCTGTTGACCCAGTATAATCTGTGGACAAGCGAAGGTTTTTGACAAATTCCAGAGCCGTAGAGCTATCCAGGCCTCGGGTGCTGTTATCCCAGCATTGCAGGGGGCAGCCACAGAGGGTAGTCTCGGCAATACTGACCCGCTTTCGCTCGCCTCCAGAAACGCCTCGAATATACTCATTTCCTATCCGTGTATTCATCGTGTGGCTTAGGCCTAGCATGGCCATGACTGCGTCCCGCATATGAGTTGCATGTTGTTCGCGGGAAACACCAGGGATACGGTTTGCTGGGGTTCGAGCATGGGCGGCAAAAAGCAGAGTTTCGCCCGCAGTGAGCTGTGGGAAATGAATCTCCGTTTCTGCCTGATAGATGACCTCGCCGCGGAAGCGACTGTGCATTTCATCCCACGAGATACCCTGGTATTGAATATGTGTTCCTTCGTCCAGCCACAAACCATGGGTTTCTCCAGCAATCGTCTTGAGGAAGGTTGAGCATCCACTATTGTGCGCGAACAGTTAGTGCCGATCGAGACAACGCTTCTCCTTTCAGGTTAAGGGCCCTGCAGGACCTACCTGCCTGGCCGGCCAAGTACAACAAGCATCTCGCCGCTGCGAACAAAACCCTCAAAATTGCGCAAGATGTCAATGCGAACCCTGTTCCCACATCCGAGAATATTTCGAAGCCACCCGAACCCTTTGAGCCACATGTTGGCTACATCGGCCTGGTAGTCGGCTGCCGTTCCGTAACCATAGGCATTCAGGTTGCGAAATGAGACGCCTGCCGTACGACGGGGATATCGATCTGGATCGCGCGTCGTAATGTGCAACAAATTCTTCATCCATTTGCGCACGTTGAATTCCCCGGAGTTGGGGTCCAGCTCGGGGTCGCTGGAGGGGTTGAGAAAGGTGTTGGTTGGGTCTGCACTCTTCTGGGATATATGCGAGAGGCTCCGCGCAAGAGCAGTGATCTTTTCGTGCCCTGCCTGATCAATGCCATCCTCGGAATCTGGCCCTGCCGTGTCCGAACTGTCTGCCTTCTCTCCTAGTGGCGTCTCCACGATACGATCCTCTTCAGCATGAGTTGATTGCCGCCGGAGTGTACTTGCGACCTCCTGGCCCGCACTTGACGAGACAGCCGCTGCCCCGAAAGGAGCTGGAGAGGCCGGTTGCATCGCCATCGCCGTAAGATCCACACAAACCTCCCAAATGACTACCTGGTCATGACAGAAAGAAGGAAAGAAGACAGTGAGGGATTAAAATATTCTGCGAGTCGTCCGTCCTTCGTGACAAATCTGGCAACAATAAAGAACGATGGTTGGGCGGGGGAGTGAAAGGAAGGAGCGAATGTTAAACAACTCATCCTCAGGGGACAACCAAATAAACAGGTGCTATACATGTCACTATCTAGGAAACATAAGGTAACCACATCCCGCACGGAGAGCGGATAGAAAGATATCCGAGCCCGGGTAGCATAAACAAAAAGGGAATCCGATGGGAAAGAACATTCAGGAATAGGATGTAAGCGAACCCGAATACGCTACTCTGGCTCTACTCCGTATGGTTAAGCCGCCAGCCAAGGTAGCATCGGCATCATAAGCGATGACTCCATGACCGTCAGGCCACCAGGCGCTGCCATTCAGTGGTTGACACAGGGACATCGAATCATCTTGGCAAGTCAGCAAACTGAACATGGATCATGTGGGTTCGGTCACCCCGGTTTCTCCATTACAACGCCATGACAGGATCTAAAGTAGTGGGGTCCCGTCAACGATTTCCGGGGTAGCTGGTTATCGGGGACTTGGGAATTGAACCTTAGAACCTGGGGTGGTGCACAAACAGGCAATGCTGAAGCATAATAACTGCTCGGCAGTACGGAAAACTATAGATACTTATCGATGCACATGCTGAAGCACATCTAAATCCCTTTCTCTCCGAGCAATGGCCTCACGCAGAGATGGAGATCGGATATTTAATCATATTACACGATCATGATCCTGGACTAGGGGCCGGGCTAGCCACTAAAACGGCAACTGTTGCTCCGGGCTGCAGTCGGTGGCTGAACTCTCCATGACTTGAGGTGCTGATTGGCTTCGTATTGCCTGCGTATTCGCAAATTCTCCCGAGCACTTGTCATACTACGCACTAACCTCTTTAGGCGATAGGCTTGTCTGGATGACGGAGATGCTGATACTACAGGGAATATCAGCGACGGTATTAAGAAAAATGGATCGCGGTTATTCAAATGAATGAACCATGATCTCTTAGAGCAATACAGATATAGCTGCTGCTTGAACCTTAAGGGCAGTTGGTCTGATGTTGAGGAGAACAACATAGAGTCGTGAAGCGTTGCCAGTATCTTGGACCAGCAGGAGTCGATCTCAGCTCCTTTATTCAGCAATGTACCCCCATTTCCAATCGGTCGTGGGTCCTTGCTGATATCGAGCGCGGGATCTGGAATGACTTCTTATTTCAGCTGTGCCCATTTATGTTCAGCTTTTTGCGTACAGTCAAATCGAGTAATTATGCATTGTAGCGATATTACACACTTTTGATAACAAAGCACGGGCGAGTAAGGCCTGAATTTTGCGCATCTTTCATGCCTCTCCTGGGAAGTGCAGCTGTTTTCCGTTTCGAGAGTCCGATGAGGATCAATGTTAAGCGAGCTTGGCAACATGGCTCAATAGTGGAGCACGATTTCGTGCTTATCGATATCCATGGACTCAAAACTATTCAAATGGTCCTTTGTCTTCAAAGGCATGGTATTTTTCCTCGAGCTTGACGACATCGAGACTCTTTATCGTTTCAATTGGACACCAGTGCTCTGAGAAGAAATCCCAGTCGGCCTCCCGCCCACACGCTGCACCTGTTTCCTGGGCCACAGCACCTACTCATTCTCATCATGTCATCTCCTGCATGTTCAGCCGTAAGCAGCCCAACGATATCAGACCAACCAGATGATGTTGAATCAAACCTGTCTGTCCTGTACGAGGAGCGACCATTGCTGGACTCGACGGACGAAATTTGGGCACCACCCAAAGGATTTCTTTGGGTCCAGATCGGTAAGTATATCGCGAGACACCACTGAAGTGGAAACTCACTGTCATTGTCAGCTATCATGTCGAATGTATTTCTTTCCGGATTCGATGGCACCATCACGGCCTCAACGTACGCTGTGATTAGCTCGGAATTCAACGCCGCCAACACTGCGTCGTGGCTCACGACCTCTTATCTCATCACTAGCACCGCCTTTCAGCCTCTATACGGTCGCTTTTCAGATATATTTGGCAGGAGAGTGTCCTTTTTCACCGCCACCATTACATTCGTCATTGGCTGTCTGGGTTGTGGTGTTGCGAGGGATATTGTCTTGCTGAATACGATGCGGGCGTTGACGGGAATTGGCGGAGGAGGTCTAATGACTATGGGTAAGTCGCATCATCCCAAGCTGGAGGACAGCTCTCACACGATCCAGCTACAATTGTCAACTCCGACCTCATCCCGTTCAGACGTCGGGGCATGTATCAAGCTCTGCAAAACGGCATGCATGGCTTTGGCTCCATCTGTGGTGCGTCTTTTGGTGGCTCGATTGTTGATACGATTGGATGGAGATGGTGCTTTCTGGTGCAGGTCCCTGTAGGACTGTTCGCATTGATCACAGGCCATCTTGTTCTGCATCTTCCGCGGCCTAGCCAAACTTTTGGACAAGGGCAGAGTTTTCGGGCGATCCTGCGACATGTCGATATATTAGGAGCTCTGCTGCTCATTCTTGGCCTTTCAAGCCAACTTGTTGGCTTGAGCCTGGGTGGAAATCAGCTTCCATGGTCGAGCATTTGGGTCATCCTCTCAATCTTGGCCAGCCTGCTCCTATTGGGCTTGTTCATGGTCGTCGAAGCGAAGACGCCGGCAATTCCTCTGATCCCGTCGAGAATGCTCCGCGGGCTCATGCCCGTATCCACTCAAATTGCGAACGTCTGCGTTGGAATGGCTGCGTATGCAGTAAGTGAGCCCCTACTATTGGCGTGTCTAGGCTATAGCTAACCAGAGGCAGTTCCTCTTCACTCTCCCGCTCTTATTCCAGGTAATACTGCTGGACACGCCTACCAAAGCCGGGGCAAGATTGGCTATTCCCTCCTTAGCTACTCCCATCGGCGGGTTGATCTCTGGTATCGTCATGTCGCGCTGGGGCAAATTGGCATTCCTTGTGCGTGCAGGGTGCCTACTGATGTGCATTGGAAATCTGCTCGTGATGTCTATCCAATTCCACGATGCTGGGTGGAAATACTTCACCTACGTGATTCCAGCCAGTCTTGGCCAGGGGATCGTCTACCCCGGAATCTTGTTCACGTTTCTCGCTGCATTTGACCACGCCGGTAAGTTGGGGGCTCTATCCCATCGGAAGTTCCGGGCTCATAACTTCGATTAGATCACGCGGTGTCTGCATCTACTGTCTACTTGATACGGTCTCTAGGGACTGTCTGGGGCGTTGCCATTACTTCAACCATTATTCAAAATACATTACGCTCAGGCCTTTCGGAGGCCTTGAGTGGAATACCAGACAAATGGAAAGTAACATCTCTCAAATGGAGCATCAGTGTGACATGAAACATTGGCTGACCCTCGCAATTGATGTTGTGATAGATTATCGAGCAAGTTCGACACTCCGTTTCCGCCATACAGGACTTGCCCCCTGACATTCAGATGGCCGCACGACTGGTTTACTACAGAGGTATCAAATTATCTTTTGCTGCATCTGCTAGCTTCGCATTTATTGCGACCATTGCTGCGTTGTTTTCCAAGGGTAAGGGGTTACAACGGGGGAGCTCCGCATGAGCCTTGGAGCGTCCTCCGGGACAGAAACCAACAATGCTCTACACTGGCTATCGTATCTTGCAGTGGCAAGGAGGGGAAAGGTAGGTTTTGGCTTCTACAGTACGTCGTTGACTAGCTGAAGCTTTGTTGGATTGGCGGATGGAAGTTCTAAATCACATTCAAATGTGAAGAGAGGGTCACTACGTTTGTAGCCATGTATGAGGCTAGTCGCCGCGAATATGGAATACAATCGTTCACAGGCTCGAGTAAAAACGTTCTACGCGTTCTAAAGGTGATATCATGGCGAAAAGGTTCGATTCCGCTCTGCGGAGCAATCCCGAAGGCGCGGTAACCCCGCATATCCTGAAGGACCATAACTTAGCTATCAGTCCACATTGCTTCCAAGATGAGACCTCGTTGATGCGTTCCACTGAAAGAAAGATGAGTCTTCATAGGTCTGTACTCTGTAGAACGAGAGGTAAAGCATAGATATTTGTCCGCTATCAGCATAATCGCCCTACCGAGATAAGGATGGATCTTGGGGCGAAAAGAACGATCATGTTGGTATCTACATCACAGCAACAAACAGCTGGGCCACTGACATATCGATCCATGCAAGCTCCCCACAGTTTATCAAACAGCGTTCATTCCTCCGCATTAGCAAGCTCTCTTGAACAGCCAGCCTACGGGTCCCGTGGGACGGAAGTTCGGAATCAAAACCGTAGCCCTGAAGCTAAATTCGGGCGAGCATAACCACGGCTGACTTGACCATCGATATCGACGCCATGGACCAGCCCTGATTTGCGGGGAAATTGGCTTTTGTCCAGACTTCACCTGTTGTTGAGTCAGTAGTTGTCGTCCGAATTCGCCATCCTTACCCTCCCGCAAAATCGTTGACAATCCTTTTCCAGGCGAGTGGAAGAATTCCGCTTTGTTCCGTTCGACGCCCTCTTTTCTCGTCTGTCAAAAAGGGAACTAGAGTTTCTGCCTGATAAGCGAAGCTTGTAGGAGAGAGTGTTGATAACAGGCTCGGAATTCGATAGGGCGTTCCGACATTGCTCTACTGCCTATCTGATTCGGTCAAACGGTATCAGCCATTGCATAAGGATGTCAGTAAGGGTAAGATCATCTTTATCACTGTAACTCACGCCAGTGGATGCGACTACCCTGACAGATTATGGATCCCAAGGATGTGGCGGCCATAAGTTTGAGGGGAAGTCTGGGGAAGGATAACTCGTAGTCCATATAGAAGTCGCCGACCTCCTCACCAAGGGGCTCGCATCACGCTGCATCTTACATCTTCCAATCCACTATGGAGACAGAAACCAAAAGAACAGCCTCGTATTCCAAACCACAAGACAATGGCACCCCGGAAATCGAACTGGCTGCCGGCCAGGTCGTCATGGGCCTGCTGGACATGCCCATGAAGCGCAAGTTCAGCATCCTCAGCATCATCGCCGTGGGTTACAATATCTCCAACAGCTGGGTCGCCATCGCCACCAGCTTTGCTATTGCAGTGCAGTCTGGTGGCGCTGTGTCGTTGCTCTACGGTATCGTCGCTGTCACTGTTGCCATGCTGTGCACGGGTGTCACCCTGGCGGAGCTGGCCAGCGTCTATCCTACCGCAGGCGGACAGTACCATTTCACCTCTATTCTGGCGTCTGAGCGATGGAGCCGCAGGCTGTCGTACTTTAGTGGTCTTGCGGCCGTGTTCTCGTGGATCACACTCGCGGCGTCGATTGCGGTGGCTTCGACGCAGGCGCTCATGGCGGTGGTTATCCGCTGGCAGCCTGAGTACGTGCCTCACGCGTGGCATTACTTTCTGGTGTATCAGCTCTTCAACGCCGTCATGGTTGTCTACAACATCTTTCTCACCAACAGAACCCTCTGGGTGTACAATGCGGGATGTACGTACCCTCCCTTCTCTCCTCGCCATTCCTGGAATATTCTTCTACATGCTGACATTTACATCCAACAGTTCTCCTCTCCCTCGGAACCTTCCTCGCCATCACCATCACCTGTCCCGCCCGCTCCCACACCGAGGTCGACTCCTGGGCCATCTGGACGCAGTTCGCCAATGGCTCCGGCGGCTGGCCCGACGGCATCTCCTTCCTAACCGGCCTCTCCACGCCGCAGTTCATGCTCTCCGGTCTCGACGCCACCCTGCACCTAGCAGAAGAGTGTCTCGAGCCGGAGCGTATCGTCCCCAAGGCCGTGCTGGTAACCGTCGTCGTCGGCTTTCTCACCGCGTTCCCCTTTTCCATCGCCGTCATCTACAGCTACCGCGACGTGGAGTCATCCCTGTCCTCGCCAACAGGGTACGTCTGCCTGCGTCTTTGCCCATCTCCCTCCATAACCACAACCACAGCCACTGACAAACCGAACCCGTCTAGATTCCCCATCTACTTCATCTGGGAAAAAGCCACCCGCTCCCCAGCAGCCGCTACAATCTTCATGGCCGCCCTCGTCGTCATCTCCGCCGTCGCCTTCAACGCAGTCCACCAGACCGCATCCAGACTCACCTGGTCCTTCGCCCGCGACGACGCCCTCTTCTTCTCCCGCCGCCTCGCATCCGTCCATTCTTCCCTCAACGTCCCCGTCTACTCCCTCCTCCTGAACGGTCTCCTCGTCCTGCTTATCGGGATTGTATACGTCTGCTCGTCGACAGGTATGTAACCCCCTACAACTTCAACTCCACCGGAGAGTGAGCTAACGAGCGCAGCCTTCAACGCCTTCATAGGCACAACCGTCATCGTCGCGCAGATCTCCTACGCTGTCCCCGCCGCATTGCTCATCTACCGCCGTCGCTCGGCGGAGTATCTCCCGCCATCGAGGCCGTTCAAGGTCCCCCATGTGGTGGGGTATGTGTGCAATGTGATGACGATTGTGTGGGCCGTGGTGATTACGGTTTTCTTTACGTTTCCGACGACGTTCCCTGTTACCGGGGGGAATATGAGTACGTCCTTTCTTCTTTTCCTTTGTCGTTTGTTATTGTTGCTGTAGACGAAGATTGGGCTAACTGGTGTAGATTATGCGTCTGTTGTGTTGGTTGTAATGTTGCTTCTGGGGGTGGTGAATTGGTTCGTGTATGCGAAGAGGCATTACCATGGGCCGAGGTTGGAGATGTAATTGCAGGTGCAGATGTACAATTGCTTAAGTGAATCTGTTCTAGTACCACTATCTACTTAATGGACCCTGTACACATTCCCCTTTCAGTATACTAGTCACATAGCGATCACTTACTACCCTTGGTCTTCAGGACAGCCACGCTCAGATTCGGCAAGCTGAAGTTGAAAACGCCCTGTTTGCCAGCCTGCAGGGTCGACACCTTGCTGTTGACGAGGTTGGCACCGCCCACTGCGTTCATGGAGTAGGCGTCAGCCGCAGTCAGTACAGTCAGTTCAGCGGCGGTGCCTTCCTTGACGCCGTCAAAGGTTAGCGAGACCGGTACGGCGGCGGTGCTGTTGTACACGGCCGCCTTGAAGATGTGGCTGTTGGTGCTGTTGTCGACACCGGCGACGTAGTAGAGGGGGCCGTACTTGTCGGAGGAGTTGGTGGGGAGCGTGTTCGTCATGTGGGTGTGAGAGAAGAGCTATGCTGATTAGCATGGATAGTATGGAATGAGGTGCGAATGAGAGCAGCATACATCATAAACGTGCCAGCTGGTGGAGCGGGCTGTCTGATCAGGGTCGGAATTAAAGGCCAGGAAAGTGGGGGACCACTCGTAGTTGTCCAGGTTCAAGAGCATCGGTGCCTATTTCGTTAGTTTCGATCATTCCAACGAAATATGGCAACCTACGTAGGTCGTTCCGATAATCTTGTTGGCGTTTCTTTCAGCACCCAGAAGGAACACGGCTTCCGAGACGCTTCCAATCCACCATGGGTAGAGGGAGAAGTGTCTGTTGCCCCAGTCAATTGCGGCTCCGTTATACTGCACCGCGGCAATTTCACCTATCAAGTATTAGTCAGAGCTACCGGTTGGGTTCTGTCATACTTACCAAGCAGAAGTGGGTGATCCTCGGACATGTTGTCGAAGAAGCCGAAGCGAGTGACAAAGTTGTCGGGAATATCGTACAAATGATAGTCGCCACCAGCGCCAGCAGGGAGGGTCATGTCAATGGTCGATGCCAGGACAGTAATGTCGGGGTACTTGGCCTTGATTGCATCATAGAAAGCCTTGAACCGGTAGGATGTGTAGGAGGTCATTCCGTTGTTCAGGTTATCCTCGTTGCCAACTTCGACATATTTGATGACCCAGGGTTTGGGGTGGCCAACGGAAGCGCGCAATGCTCCATACTTGGTCTCCACGGAGCCGGTGAGGAACTCAAGCTCGTTGAGGGCGTCCTCCACGTACACATGGAGTTCGTCTTCGGGGACGGCGTCGCCGTTAAGCGCGAGACCGCTCCAGACCGCAAGGACTTGTACTTGGTTAGCGGCGTCGTCACGTCACTGACTGTAAATTACTCACTAGGCTCGAGCCCAAGATCATCGCACCACTCCATGTACTCAACCAGACCCATTCCACCGGTTTCCTGGTATCCCCAAGTAGTGGCACGACCAGGACGGTCCTTGAGGGGACCAATGGTCTCGTTCCACTTCCAGCGGCCGTCGATG